ATTTCTTTGATTTATATATTTTGGTATGTATGTCTGTTGTGATGTGCACCATCAGGCACAAAATATCTCAATGTGTGGTCAACGCTCGTAGTTTTTAAGAAGTGAGAAAGGTTTGGTAATTAAATCTAATGTAATCAAAAACACCTTAGGCGTGAAAAAAAAGGTGTGGCCAAAAAAAAGGATTGAGTGTGCGACTTGAAGGAATGAAATCAAAATTGACATCCAAATTGGTAGCTACACTTATAGCATTGATTAGAATTTTACAGCAAATATTCATTCTTTAGTTAGCCAGGCCTCATTTTTTTTCAACTTGGGGTGTGATAGTGAGTAAAACAAAATACACAGCATAGCTAACTAATGAATATTTGCTGTAAAATTCTTATAAAGGGTAGAAGTATAGCTACCAGTTTGTCCACCAATTTTGATTTCATTCCTTAAGTTGCATGCTTATTATTTTTTTTGGCTGCACCTTTATTTCACACTGAAGGTGTTTTTAATTAGATATCATATATTTTTGTCAATACACACAGACAAACCACAGCAAGTAAGAAAGTGACACTCAATAGTAACTAACATTAGCTTTAGGATTGCAACCCTATTATTTGGAACAGACCTATACCAGATTCTTTAAAATATATGGTGGTAGTTTTTCCTCTCTAAAACAGTATTACTAACTTCCTTTAAAGTAACACCATGGAAACTAGATTTACAGTTTCTTGTCATCACCTACATGCACTTGGAGCAGCCATACTAAGCACCATTATTTACACCAATTGCTTAAGCTAATATCACATGACGCTAAATGCTTTTCAATTAGGAGAATTTCATAAAACTTAGCAAACTTGTGCTTAAAAGTTGGCAATGAATAATAACTGTCCACCCATATGATTTTTTTGAAAACTTGACGTAGAAATATATATTTATTTTGCTTGGCATAATCAATACTTATGTATTTGCATGACCTTTCACCCTATAGTTTTGCTGCTCTAAGTTGGCCATCTTTAATCTTAATGACAAAAAACAGTCCACTTTTACTCTTAGGTGAAGCTGTAGTAAAGATTTCAGACCAATAACTCATGTGACTTTTTGCGTAGGTGTACACAAAAATTTTGGTCAAATTTAAGTGGTTTTTGTTGAATAAGTTTGCACATGTGGCTTATATTAAGACCACATTTGACATCTAACTGTAGGTTGTAAAGCTCTATCAGTGTTCCAAATTTGAAAAAAAATGTATAAAAGTTAAGGATGTTTTTTTATCAATTAAAGTTTCTGTACTTTCGATGAGAAAAGGAAAAAATTCAGTCAGAATTATAGATTTTATATCCTGTGTATTTTTTAATGGATTGCCTTGAAATTTGGTTTGTGAAGTAAAGATCCAGTAGAGCACATCCACTAGAAAACGTGATAGTTTGGATTATCACAGCCCAAGCTACAGAAAGTGGAAAATTGCTAAACTATCACTCCTGTTAATAACGCACAGTGTGTCTTGCAGATTGATTTGACTGCATGACATGCTACCATGTGTCTTGAATGTGTGCTTATGTGATATAAAAGGGAAATTTATTAATATTGTAATGTCTTGCTATATGTTAAACATTTTTTTCATTGTGCATCCACCTATGCTCGTTGAAAACTTTTAGGCAGTTGGTGTCTTTCAAATAAATTTTATTTTACGTTATTGTTGCCAGAATATCACTTTCTGAAGGGGGGGATGTAACAGAGATTAAAAACTTGGAAACTGAAAAAAACTAATAGCAAATAAATGGGAAAATATTTTGCACATTTGGAATATACAAGTTTTAGCTATAGTATGTTTTAAACTTCATTCACCCCTTTGTGTGCTTAGTGAATAATCAGTTCTTACAGATAATGCTAGAAAATTAACAGATTTAAATCTTTTATTTTTGGTCTTTTTTTTTCTCATTTGTAACTGTACATTTTAGAAAGCATAGTTATAAGAAATACAGTATTAATCCATTTTAGAAAGTAATAATTCTATAGTACAATTTAAAAGGACAAAACTTCAGGTGAGAAATATATAACAAGGTTTGCAAGTAAATATTTTTTGGTCTTTGATATTATATTAACAATTAATTAACAAAACAGAAAAACATTATAAAGTGTATGTTAAATTTTGAACTTGGTTAAATCAGAAGTGGTTTACTTCATATCTAATTATCAGTTTCTTTTACCAAATATTAATAAAGTGACAACCAAAATAAAATCATCTCAATGTAATAGTGAAGTCACAAAGAAAAAAATGATTCAGATTTTTTGTAGTGTTTTTACTTTGACTTTCGTAGCAGATTTTTCTTCCCTTTATGGATTGGATATTATTACTACTTATAGCAACACAAACTGTCAGTTTTTAAATTTTGAAAATAAAAGTATTTTTCCAAGAGGTTGTGCTTTCTATCTTTGTTTAGTTGTTTTTTGAGTTTTTTTAAATTCTTTACAATTTATACAGTTGCTCACATATATTAAATGCTTCTGTACATGTATACAGGATGTGTCAAAAAATCAAGTATAAAGTTAATATAAATGGTGCTGTTTCTCTTTTTTTGATCCAAAAAGGATATAACCCTTACTAAGAGAATCAGTTGAGAAAACTTATAATTCTATTGTGCACTTTGGTATTGACTTAGTAGCACATTTTCTCATTGATTTTGACTTTTAACACATGCTGTAGATGTTACAATTTTCAGTTGCTGATTACTAAAGGTTTGACTGAAATAATTTGTATTAGCATGTAGTGCCATTGTAGTAGCAGCATTAAAAGTCTGTAAAGGTTTTAACAAAAGTTAATGATTTGGGTTTAAAACATTAATAAGAAAAAAAAAGATATTTTGTTTTGTAGCATATTGACTAGTCTGTGTTAAAGAAAGCTATTTTGTTGTAGATAATATTTTAATTTAAATAAATGTGTATTGATATTTATGTTCCAATGTTATGAACTGAAGGTTAAAATCCAAGAAGCTTAGAATTATTAATTCTAGGTTAAACAGCTAACACATGAGTTACAGTTCCACTTGACTGAACAAATGATATGTCACCATTTTTTGAAGTTGGAAGCTTTTGCTTCTCTGTTTTAGGTAATACACATTTGTACAAATATCCAAAAAGTTACAAAAATTAAATATCATTAGAACACTGAAAAATTTTGAAAATATGGATGGACTCGTACATTCTATAATAACCACTCTTTACAAAAGCCTTATTTTGTTTGTTGATTTTGCACACATTTTAAAATCTTTGCAATTGATAACCAATAAAACATAATTGGTCAATAAATTAATATTATGGTGCTAAATAATCCCATTGATTTGGTATAAAATGCTTTTAAAATCACTTACTTGGTAATGTGAAATGTTTAATAATGTATGTTTTGTTTTTATAAATTTTAAGTTGTATTTATAACTTTTTTTAAATGTAAATATTCCTGCCATCTATATTTTTCCTTTGCAGTGAATATTGAAAATGTTTCTATGGTACCACTAGATGGCTTTTGATATTATGGAACATGTGTTTTATGTTCAAGAAACACCTATTACACATCTTATAAACATGCCTATCAGCATTTCATAGAAATATAGAGCAAAACTTTGTGAAGAAAAAACAAAAAAAAACAATTTCAGTTAGCATGGGAAATGCATGAGGTTAAGTTTGAAATGGGAAGGTACCTTAATTTTTAGTTATTGTATGTATTCTTTCATTTACTAAATAAAAATTGATTACTTATTGTTATTTCACATATTTTGTATTCTTTACTAATTTATTTTATTAGGTCAGGGTTGATTACTCTCAAATCTACTAAAATAACCTGAGTTTTATTAATGCCACTAACTAGACACCACAATTTGAGGCTTTCTTAGTTTCTATCTGGGTTACAAGTAACCCCAGAGCCAGAATATAACCTCATATTGTGTTCCAAGCTCTCTTAAGTATTACTCTGTGATCAAATTAGAATTAGATCAATGTTAGGGGATGCTGTTCATTGGCCAACTCATTTGAAAGCATTTTAGTTGATGGTATGGAATTGAGCAATCTTCAGAATAATTCAACTTATGATACTGTCCCTGAAATGGTACTCCAATACTCTTCTAACAAAGCATCAAGAATCATCTCTGGTAAAATTAAGATTTTCACTCTTCTTAATGACAGAAATATTCAGTCCATGGGTAATTCACACTACACAAGTGAGCCTCAGTAAATGCAATCAACTTATCTGGCTCATGTTTTAAGGCAAGTAATTCCTATATCTGAAATTCATGAAGTATGATAGGTACAAAAGTAGTGGTGTAAGTCAAGTCCTTCTCTTCTGTCCAAACCTGTCTCAATTAGGCAAATTGTTTGTGGCTACCCAGTTGTTAAAACCAAAATAACAGGAGAATAACAAAAAGTTATTTCTGGAGAAATGTGAATGGGACTTAGATGAGGAGCTTTATAATCCTGGGTGTCCGAAGACTGACTAGGGGGAGAAAATAAGGTGCAGTAGTCACTTCTAAAGGAACATTTTTACCCACTTATATTAATATTTAATTTGCCATCTGTGAGATGGATTTTCCCAGCTATTGTTTTGGACTTCATTCCATAAGTGTGATAATTCACATGAGGCATCAAATTGTGCCAAGGAATCCCACTGTCTTTTAAAATGTGTTAATTGTAGCAAAGCACAACCTACAATGTTGTTACAGTGCCTTGTTCATTTACAAGTTAAGGAGTTGAACAATTAAGATAAGAACAAAAGTTGTCTTCTAGAGAGACAACACAAAATTCTTATTTAGACACTTAGAACATGGCTTCTTCGTTACAGGTGCAATCCAAGAGATATATTGTGTTTCAGATGCTAATCATATTATAACAGTTGATAGTTCTACAGAAAGTTTCTGTGCCCAAGCTATTGTTTATTCTTTGTAGTTAAACTGTTTATTTTGAAGCAGAAGTTTAAAATGGTTGTTACCATATTTGTATTAACTCAGCAAATATTAATATCATTCCAGAGCAGCAGAAAAATATCTTTGATACAAGACCCTAAAACCCCAGGTTGCTCATAATGATTATGCTGTCCGGATGATCTCCCACCTTAAAAGTTCTACAGTGGAATGCTCAGAGTTTAAGGGCTTATGATAATGAGTTCAGATATTCAACTGATGGACATGCTTCTAATGTTTAAGGTTTGTTAAACGTATTCAACATCAAATCTTTATTATAATTTTCCAAGTTATTCTTTTTATAATTTCAATTATTCATACTTTGATTATGGTGGATTTCTTATTTTCATTTGGCAAAATATTAACTTCTACCTAGTTGGTACCTTTAATGTTTTATTCCCTTGAATGATTAAAGTTAGTACTCGGGCAAGTTCTCACTGGATCATTTGTTCTGTGTGTATCCTTGTAACTATGAACATTAATTCATATGGACCAAAATATTGACTGCTGTGATCTTATTTGTGAGGTTTTCAATGATAATCGCTTTTTGTAGGGTTCTGACTATGTTTATGCCAATGATAGAGAAATGGAAGTGTTTAGCAATACCCCTAACCTGTTTCTTCTGAATGACAACTCCCTTTATAGATTGTGTACCAAAACTAGAAACCACCCTTTTCAACTTGACTATCATCTCCTCAAAATTAAGTTGTAAATGGCACTGTTCATTTCTTATTAATTCTTTTGGAAGTGATCAGGTTTTTTTGGAACAGTTTATCTTTATACACAAGTTATGATTATCACTTTTTACTCTTCTAGGCTCTTTATGTTGCCTGTAAGTACGATCTTGCCTCACATCTCCAATTGCAGTTCTACCAAATGCTGGCCATTTTGGATTTATTCTTATTGGTGCCCCATATAACTATTAACTTCTTGGGATGCTGATTGTAATCATTTAATAACATTCAATGTATGTCCTAAAAATTCACAGAAAGTGTCCAGAAACAGTACCTATATAATTAAGAGAGCAACACGTGTGCATGCATGGGAAGCTTTTTAAACTTCGTTAAAATATCCAAAAGTGAAATTAGGAGTTGATTAGTACTGATAATGTCACCATATGCATAAGGAAGGAATGGATGTAAATACATGTAGTACTTTGCATTTAGATTATAGAATGGTTTGGGGGGGGGGGGTGGGATCTGTTATCCATCAGAGTCTCATCTGAGAAAGCAATGTTGAAGTGTTAAGGATTGTGTGTGAATTTCTTCATTTGTTTATAGACACTTAGAGTACTGGTACTGTCACCCTGTTGAATCATAATACTTGCTCTTGATACCCAGGTTTTGAAATTGTCGTTAGATCTGGTGTCTCTTACTAGTTAAATAAATTGGTTTGTCACTTTTGATCAGACCATTTGGCTTAAAATGTCTTTTATACTAGAGGTGTTGTGGAATAGGTTTAACCTCGCATTTATTGAGGCGCCCTACACGGCCATCAGATTTGTTCAGATCTCTGTGTATCTAGCCTCATATGCGAGTAGTCTAGGCAGATCATTTAATTATTTTAAATACACAACACTGCCTTTGATTTTTATAAACTTTGTACATTCAAATACAAAATATCACAACCAAAAAAACACGAGGTTTCCTTCATACTCAAAGGTACATCGACTTAATTTTAGGCGTAGCCTAGCATATTTGGAACTTCAATAAAGGAGAACGTCAATGAGTAGTTAAAATCAGGAAAAATTTATAAATAGTCAATAGTACACCTTTCAAATGTTCTTTTTATCCATGCAATAACTGATCAAGTTTTGTTGTTTCAAGAAGACTGTTGTTTGTCAATCCTAGAAGAATCTACTGAAGTCCTGCTACGTATCAACAAAACAATAATCGACTGTAAAAAATGGCGAATTGCAAAATTCAACGCTGCCATTCAGCGTTGGCACGCCTTGATCTTAAAGTCAACTTTTGTGATCGTTGACTTCCGGTATTGCTTCAACGTTGACTCAACACAATCAACTTGGAAATTGAAATGCAATATAGCAGTTTCTATGAGGGACGTGGCTTTTGTGGTAGGTGACTTAGTTTACTTTAAATGTGGATGCAGCAACCTTTTCTTTGAAAATAATATTCAAAACAAATGTGTTTTGTCTAGCAACGTTTCGAGTAAACAATCTTCCTCAGGCTTAATATAAAAACAACTATAAGACTGATGACAGCATTTGCTCGAAACGTCACTGGACATAATACGTTTGTTTCTGTTTTAACGTTGTGGAAATTCTGATTCTCTAAAAACTTATCTTTTGTCTGACGTCCATCTTGGAAATGTCAATAAATCGTTCCAGTCAGCGTTGACCAACTTCAGAGATTTAGTAGTCCCTCGGTGAGACAGCGGCAAGTTTACGGGCCTACAACTCTTAAAACCGGGGTTAAATTCCCTGCGGTGGACACAGCAGATAGACCAATAACAAATAATTTTGGGATGTGACCAAAATTTGTTTTAATTTTTCGTCAGTATTTCATTAAAACGCAAAAATATCATTAGTATTATGTGTTCTTTAATCACAATTGTTTATATTCAACAACGGAAATGTTTCTCAAATCTAGTATTTTATAGTTACCGTTGTTGCCAATGATTTCCAAAGATACTTCTAGGAAATTCGCAGGTTAAATCAAAATATTTCATAACAAACATTACGTCATGTAGAGGCACAACTAGAATTTGGAATATAAATTTATAAACATACGTTAAAACTAAATAGTTCCTGTTAATTATATATAGTGAATGAAAATAAGTATAATATTCAATCGCATTACGAATTCTCATAAGTTTAAATTAATGTTATGGGGAGTATCATAAGATGGCGCCACATATCCAAACCATGTAAGGTGCAGGAAACGTACAAGGTTCCAACCGAAGCATGTAGCGTACAGTGGACGAATATCACACATGTACTGGTTATAATGAAACACCAGTACCTGATGTAATACTCATTCACTGGATGCTATCCCATCACGCTTTGCGAGTGGGCTACAAACTAGTGGCAAGAGAAAAATACAAATAAGTTTTAACACTGACTTCCCTCCCCTTTTTCCAATGAATTAACAACAATTTTCATTGTAAACATTAAACTTTATAACTTTAAATCATTCACTAACCAATACATGTTAGACACATAGCTGACAACACTCAAAGCTTCATAAAATGTACAAAACACTGGTTTTCACCAACCTCATGCATACACTTTCAAAGTTTTACATTAAAATGTTAAATTTACAAATACAAAGTTTTTGGATTTTATCTAAAACAATTGAAAATGGTGTTACGGTTACCAAAAAGAAAGGTTAAAAAATTCCCATGGAAACGTAAGTTGTGTGTTCTTACTGTATAATCCAACTTTCCACGAGATGATAAGGTGGATCATTTTACCAAAAACACGTTTGCTCATTTCAAGAATATTCACCATTTGTTACATTTACATGACAATGCCTAATGTTATATACGGGAAGATTTTTTTTTTATTATTATTTGTGGTTAGTACGTACAATTAATTAGAATATTACACAACTAACGCATGTGCAATGCTCATAACTACAGTGATACAAACGTCAGACACCACTGTTATTTTCACTTATCGCCACTGGTGTTTGTAACCTATGTTTTTGTTTCACTAATTGTAAAAACATTTTTATTATAACAATTGGTTGAGATTTCGTTAACCTTGCCAGAACATATGACAGTAATCATAATGTGACATTGTTTCACAATATCAGCCGAGCATATTTTAAGAGCAGAACAACAACAACATAATTGATGGTACACTACTTTGCATTAGCCTATCTTAGGAACATCAGCAGGACACCGCAAAATTATTTAATATTAAACTTAAGTGCAATTTTATGTCGCTTTAAGTTGAAACTGCCTAAATTTCAGTTTCTGCAATGAACGACTTATTTTAAGAATAAAATATAGTGAACAGTGCGTAGTAGACAACAATATCCTATATAATAAATCCAAGAATCACTCCAAAATTTCATGGCATCTACCTGCCTATGAAGCTATTTCGACAAACGCTTTAAAACTTTAGGAACATCGAAATACAAAACCAAAATATAAAATCTTAATTTACCTATATTTCAATAGTTCCTCCATAGAGAAGAACAAGAAGAAATAAAATTGTTTTCCACCACCATTAAAATTAAAGGCTCCCCCTGCTGAATAATCTTCTGAAACGAATAGCCGTGCGGTTAAGGTTAGATTGGCGAGAACTTGGTGCCTATCGCATCTCACCAGGTACCCCGAAGTAAGCTTATCCGGAGTTACCTCATGAGATTGGACCGTCACCATTATACATTCCGGGGGAAGGTATGTGCAAGGTGTCAGGAGTCATGCACAAAAGTAGTCATGCAGGTGCAAGATTATAACTACAATATTTCCAAACCTTGAATAAACTCACTACATCGAGTTTTCTCTTCTCTTCAGCTACTTTCTCATCTAATATAGAGAAAAAAAAAAAAGTCAATAAGTAAATGACAGCAAGTCGTGCATAAAAAGTATCTAGTAGCAGATGGCCCAGTACATTCTACATAATTAAACCTTCTCCACTTTCGATATATAAATCCTGTTCTGTTCTTCTAATCATAGTAGGTGGTCCTTCGGGTATACTGACAAGATACAAACGTAGCATCATATCTTATTGTAAATTAAAGTAACATGGTACAAACTCTCTAATTTTGTGCAAAATTCTAAACAGCCGAAACGTTCTGTATCGCTAGTAAGTCTTTGTTTCCAAAGTTCAAATACGATAAGAAATGTCGTATCTGTCACAGAAATTCTGTGATAACAAAAGTTTTTTATGCAGCGTAAATGCTAAAATGTAACATTGAAAATCGCCTTATTTCGAAAAGAAAGCGTTTCCGTTTTTTAAAATCTTATCGACAACGCCGCCGACACAAAACTTGTGTTTATCTGTGTGGCTTATAATGTGTAACCGTTTCGATTAGGTAAGCGCCTTGTTTACATTAAGTTTCAATAAGACGAAGCAATATCGCGATTTTTTATTATTATGAAAAACAAGATGAAGTGCATAAAAAAGATATGTTGCACCTAAGCTAATTAAACTAGGATTATAAGATAATTATTATTATTTGTATACACAGTTTAAATCGTTAAAAGTTTACAAATATTAACTATGTGTCAAAGAATTTGATATCTAACTAATGTAATGACCAAATACCATAACAGATGTAAATTATATATTTTATAAAATCCACTTGATGAGCGTACATTATTTCCCTAAAAATTTGTTTTAAGACCAACTCTAAGCAAAATAATTCATACACAAAATTAAGAAAATTCTTTCTAGCATCAAACCTAATTATAATATGGCATTCTAGGCGCTTTTCTTGACTAACAGGTTTCTAGTGCAACTTGTATCAGAACCACTGTCGAATACAAAATGCAAGCCATGTCAGATTTAACTATTACTGTTAGTATGGAACATGTTGGAAAAATAAGTACAGAATATTGATGGTTTTATGCTTACACATTCTGCGAACAACGAAAAAGTCCTGATCACGAAATGTTCTCATAAAAAAGAAAGTACAACGTCACGTCGATAAACACCTTAATCAACTGCCTTGGCCTTTATCTTCTTGTACAGCTTGAATTAGTTTTAAAAAACTGTACAAGCAAATAATACAGACGTGTTCGCAGCTGAGGGTAACCTGGAATTTGCTTTATCACCCCAAAACTTTTTTTTTTCATAAAAAAAAAGGAAGCAAAACCATAATGAATTCAGCGAGAATAAAAACCGACGACACCATAACTAAAATTACAAGTCATTCACTTTTAAGTAAACATGTTATGGCTGAAATTCTATGAAATTACAAAATTCCCTATTTTTTTCTAGCTGTATCTTCCTTGAGGGTATATATATATTAACCGCTTACACATCATCGCCCACAACCTAGTTATTGGTATGCATATACGAGAATGAAGCAAAGGGAATAATGTTGACGCTTTAATCAACAATTTCTTACATTTCACAATTCGGAGAAGACTTTGGGGTTAGACTTCTGCTGAATTAAACAAATGGGATGGAAAAATATTTGATTACATAAGTGTTTCCGTAAAATATCAGTAATTCCTTTTTTAATATTTGTTTAACATAAATAATAACAAGACAGATGTTCATATATACAATGATTTGTCTTCATTAATTCGGGCTAATAGCACCACGAAACAACTTTTAAACAGAAAGTATGCAAAAATTCCGTAGTTTTGTTTTCTTAACTTTTCTCAGCTAAGCGTTGTCTGACTAACTAGGCAAGTTCTAGCTTATTAAAAAGCCGAAAAATTGGAAATCGCACTAGTTAGAAAATTGAATATAATTAACTTATTCACCCATAAGACAGGGGGTTCCATTCATACGAAAAGAAGAACGTATCAGATTAG